TCCCCATTCGAGGGCTATTATCTTAGGCAAACCCAGATAACTCGGGGTAACAAGCCCACTGGGCAACATCCGAACTAAAAGGCTACGGCCATATTAAAACGGATCAGAGACGTCTGAGACCCGTAACAAAAAATAAGGCATTCAAAATTTCTTAACCGATTCTAAAAGCTACCCTCAGCAAACTATAATCTAAAAAATTATAAATACTTTGGGGAAAAGTTTCTGGTTATACCGAGCCCACACGATGCCTTTGAAGGCAAGGCCTATTCGAAACTCCGAGCATGACCTAACTATTTCATGCTAAGGCATTTCGATCTTTGCAAATATAAATAATAAAGCAAAGGAAAACAAAACTCAGAGATTGTCGAAGGGAAAAAGAAGCCTTGTATTATATATACATATAATCTTTACAAAGGCCAAACGGCCTTGACAAAAAGTACACAAGTACAAAAATACAAAAAAATGTACAAGGCACTTAAACGGCCTTGTCTTCACCGGAGCCCGCCTCATCACCGGGACCATCACCCTCGGAGTCTTCTTCTTCGTCCTCGGGGTAAGCCAACTTCTTGGCCTTGGCCTCGAGCCTCTTGGCGTTTTTGATCTCGGACGACAAATTAAAGCCCCGAGCATGAACTTCCTCGAGGGCCTCCCTTCGGGACTACCGCTTCTCATACTCAACAATGTCTTTCAAGCAAACCTGGGCTGCCTCGGCATCAGCTCTGTACTGGGCCCCAATCTCGTTGGCATCGGCCTTGGTTATTTTAGCTATCAACTTGGCCACTGTAAGCTCTTTTGAGAAGGCCTCTCGATCGGCAATAACCAAGCTCAGTTGAGATTGAAGCTCCTCGACTTTCTGAGATTGTGCCTCAGCTTTCTCTCTCATCATTCGGGGTTGAGCCTCCGCCGAGGCCAATTGTGCCCGGATAGTTTCTTTTTTCGAGGCCAAGCAGTCCGTTTTGCTTTTCCATTCTTTGGCCTCAACCTTTATAACATCCATCTTTGCCCAGTGCTGGTCGATCCGATCAAGCTTCTGTTGGACCTGCGGGTTCGGACCGTTAGTCATCGTATCTAACTTATCGTCACTTACTTCAAAAACTTTTACCTACTCAACCTAGACGGCATGTTTTTTCTCGACCGCGTCCAACTTGGATCGAAGGCTCTTAGCCTTTTATTCACGTTGCTCACTAAGAAGTTTGTACATGTCTTTCTTCTCGGTAAGCTCTCTGGCTTCGGCCTCGAGTTGGCTCAGCTCTTCTCTATACCAGAGGAAGGTCTTATGGTGAAGCACTGAAGCCTGCAAATATGGGAAGGAATGTTAAGATCACCAATAACCAGAATTGAAAAATGAAAAGGTTCGATGACACCTTACCCGATTTAGTGCCTGTTGTGATTCGTTGAACAGGCATAGAGAATCCACCTTGTTCATTTTTTCTTGGTCGTCTTCGGTCACTAGGTATCGAAGGTAACTAGCTACCCCAACCGGTACGGAGAGAACCCGGGCATCCTCCGAAATGGAGATAACAATCGACCACTTCCGACCAGGATCAACACTTGGGGCAGGGAATCGTTTGACTAGTCTCGGGCTCGAATTAGGGTCATCTGCTCTCGAGGACAGGCTTTTCCCCGGTACTTCCAAGTCACCCAATTCGGTGACATCCTCCGTGGCAGTGGAGTCCATGCCATTAAAAAAGCTTTGGATGGGATCGTTCGCTCCCTGGACCCCCTCATTTGACCGCTCCTTCGCCGTTTTGAGCTTTGCCGAACATCAAGTCCGTGAACAAAGGTGATCCCGTTATGTCAATGACACCAGGTGGAGCAGATCCAACATCTTGATGGTTCTTGACCCTCACTGTTGCATCGACCTCTTGAGTTTGAGAGGGGGTGGATTCTATTGTTCCCCCCTCGGCTGATGCTCGTTCTTCAGGGACCGATGGCTCTCGGGCCAATAAAATTTCATCCTCTTCGGACTCGTCCCTGAGCCGGTGAAGGGAGTCTAAGTCAAGTATTCGGGAGCTGGAGGTTTCTTTTGGCTTGCGGACCAGCCTCCTCCTCAGTTTCTTTTTCTCCGAACTCGGGGAGCTCGGAGCCCTCCTCCTTTTCTTCTCTATGGCCTGCCCCGGAGCAGGAGACTCGACGGGCAAGTCCTCGTCACCAACCGAAGGCCTAAGCTCGACATCCTTAGGCAATAAGAACTTGATAGTAAAAGGAGAGGCCTAACGCAACCTGATCGAAAAAGTGATCTTACCATGGTAAGGGGCCTCCCAACGGCCCTTTGAGAGTTTGCGCCACGAACGCTCGGAGTAGGGCATCTGAGAAACGATACCCTCGACCCACTCCTTGAGTCGTGGGACAACATTTGTAACCGAGCAATGGTTGCACCACCACAAACATCAATAAGAAAAAGAAAAGTAAACGTAAAATCAACATTCAAAGGAGAGTTCCACTTACATTTTGTATTCCACTTCTTGGGGAATGGCATGCATTTCGCCGGAATCAGGTCCGAAGTCCTCACTCGGACAAAACAGCCTTACTAGCCTCGATCTCAGTCCTCATCGATGCTCGAGAACGGGGCTTTACTGGGCCGATGCACAAGCTTTATCAGCCCCGCTTGAAATAGTCGGGGAATGTACACCCGAAGTAGGTGATCCATGGTGAACCGGCATCCATCAATTTTGCTCACGAAGAACCGGAGGAGGATCATGGTCCTCCACATTGAAAGATGGATCTGACCGAGGAAGACTTCATACCTCTTGCAGAAATCTATGATGACCGGGTCCATCATCCCAATGTGAAGGAATAAGTGTAAACACTCAGGTATCCCTCGACATGGGTTGTAATGGCCTCCTCGGGGTTGGGGACCACTACAGTTTCATTGGCCCAGTTGCAATCTATCCGAACCATAGGGAGGATCTCCTCAGTGATCGAACAGATGTATCAAGAGAAGTCTTCGCACCGACCTGGTACGGATGAAGTTTTTCCAACTTTGAAGTCATTATTTACCGAGCAACCCCCGGGGACGAACATTTTCAAGGGAGGTTCGACCACTGGGTTGTAAACTGTTGCGTTCGAAACAGTCGCCTCGGCCCCAAAAACCGGACGTGAAGTAGAGGGATTCTCTTTCTGGGGGACGGTCTTGGAAGTCTTTGCCATTTCTTTGGAAAGCTAAAGTGGAGGAAAAACTGAGAAAGATGAAGAGAGAAGGGAAGTTGAAGAATTAGACTTGTTGGCTTGGGAAGAAGATGGGTGAATTTTTTTGCAAAGGACCCTGAATAACGGAGGTAAAAATGCTAGAGTAATGCAAAAAATCTTGAAAACTCTAAGGCAGAAGGTTTGATGTAAAGTAAAAATGAACAAAGGAGGTGGTATTTATAGGAACTCGGCGACGCTTTGCATTCAGGGGTAGCCGACCGACGGTTGACAAGAATTTAATGCCATTATGACACGACGTACCGAAGAAGGAACGGAGAATCTCATGTCGTTTCTCATCAACTCATTCTCCGAGAAATGAGGGGACTATCTGTATACGGATAAAATCGTTCTCGTAGTACTTCCCGGTCCATGACATGATAAGCCAAGCTTTAGATATAGTAATAGGAGGGCCCAAACCGAGGTAGAGATCTCACCAATACGGAGCCCGGGCTGTGACGCCCGCCCTCGAGGGTGTCAGGGTCGCGATTCGGGATCGTCCCTAGACTTGATTAACTTCGAGGAACGTTGTTAGGAGGTCGAGCACGGCCAACAGAAGACCGTGATATCGACCGACCGAATATCACGGTGGAGATGTCGGCACGTACCAAGAAGAAATTGGCAATTAGTTAATTAGGAGAGTTTTACCTTTTATAGAGTTGTACCTAATACATGACTCCCCTACTATATAAATATGGTCTAATTACTTATAAAAGACATGGTAACATGCATTCCAAAGCAATACATTATTATTTCTCTCTTTAAGCTCTTATTCTTCTGTACCTTGATACCGATCGAAGTGCATCCAGTTCGAGTGTGACTGGCCTCCCAAGACTGTAACTGTTCAATTCGTGTGGTTTGAATTTATTTTATCGTTGTTTATTTCAATTACAACTTAATTTATCGCTTTGTGTCAAGTTAATCTCATATCCTTAAAATCACTTACAAATTCAATTATTATCCGATTTTAAGGGTAAACAAAAGTAATACATAATATCATAAAAAGTACGACTTTTTTTTATTAATTAGATACATTTTTTCACTTTCCAATATAATAAACTATCACAATATGAAAACTGAATATGACAAGAAAAGGTATTTGTATGCATTATTAGTTATGAAGTAGAAATGATGTGCCCAAATTTATTCTTCTACCCAAATTTCACCCTTCTAAAATTGAATGGTCAAAAATTTCAATACTATAGCTCAAGGCAAGGTGAAGTTAAGGAAATAAAATAGTTCAATAAGGAATCAACTATCAAGAAAATACGAAAGAGAAAAAAATTTACCTAGAGTGAATTTGCCGAGACGATGCTGGGAAGAAGTAAAGTAAGAAATGATCTGCCTTTTTTTTTTATCTTTTTTTGTTTCCTATGAATAATATAATATTGAAAGAAGAAGAAGAATAAATTGAAAAGGTCGATTTATAATTATATGATGTAATTACATCCAATTCTTTATCTTCTGTTGGGAGTTGGAGAGTGTAATTACTCCCTTCCAATTACACTCAATTCCTCACCAACCAAGTAATTGCTTGGTCAAACAAATATACCAAAGCGTGTAATTATACTCAATTACAATTAATTTCAATTCCCATGTGACTTTACAAACAGGCTCATAGTAAATATAGTAGAATGATTCGGGTATTTCCTCTGATTAGAGGCCTCGAATTTAAAATTTTGAATCATGTTAGTGAAGAACTATTCGATCTATTTGAGAATAATAGAGCTTTCGGGAGTGTCATATAATTTGTACGCATATATAAATCAGTGGGCGAAGTGGGTTTGAAATATCAAATGGTTAAAACCAAAAAAAAATAAAAAAAAAAATGACACAAATGAAATTCCCTATACGTCGGTGTGACGTTGTTTCACTGCTTGCACTAGAACTGTCTCTCCACGCACTCTCTCGAGGAAACAAGAGAGGAACGTCAATTTCATCGAGTAACGAATAACGCAGGAACGAATATATGGCGAATTCGAACAAGAATGGAATTGCTTCCACCAACATTTCTGCTTTACACTGCATCGATCTCTCCAGTCCTGACATCCATACCTCTGTTTCTCTCCTCAAAAAGGTACCCCTCTCTCTCTCTCATATGTGCATCTTATGTGTTCGTATATATGTTAGTGAGAAGGAAATTCGTGAGATGTGTCATGCGTATGTGTGTGTGTAGGAAGAAAAGTTGTGATCTTTATCAGCAAGTTATCTGTCTATTGATAATTGTCTATTTATTGAGGCTGATGATAGCAGCTGTAAAGGAATAACATGAGATATAGGTTTGTTGCAAAATTCACCTGAATTAAATACATAGAGTTTACGTTTGCTTCTTTTTTATCTAAACAGGAAATATTACCGAGGGTTCGGAAAGCTGCTTTGTTTCTAAATCCTTTTTGGTTATTTAAGCTTTTGCCATTCACAAGAATTATTATCGCATGTTTACTTTCTGGAGAGTAATGCCAACGCAGCTAATTATAAGGCAAATTCATATACTAGTTATTGTTGTTACCTTTACTTTATGCCCCCTGTTTACTAGAGGCAGAGGCGGATCCAGGATTTAAAGTTAATGGGTTCCTATAACGACCTTAAGTAAATATACAATAAATAACTGGGTTCACAATCAAATATTTATGGATATTTAGTGGATTTTTTAATACATATACACGGTATATGCAAAAGCTACTGGGTTCACGAGAACCCACATTCAATAGGCTGGATCCGCCCCTGACTAGACGTCCTTTTCAGTCTGGTTAGAGACTTGTATGTTGGTGAAATGATAACTTTGAGGATTAGCGAATATATAGTTTTTTAGAACCCCTAATATGCCTTAAAACAGAGCTAAATAAAAACGAATGGATTAGAGGATTCATATATAACCCAGACTCAAGCTGGTTGGCAATGAGGCATCGCTGATTGAGTTGATGGAAAGGGTATCTGCATGGATCCTTCAAATATTCATCAAGTATCATGTCTATGGACTATACTTTGGAGGAGATTCATAGATCCCATCTGTTAGAAGAATTTATATTTCTATTAAAAGATAAAACCAACGTTTAGTATGCATAAAGCCACCGTCCCAAAGCTACTTTTTTTGTCCTTTAGTTCTTTAAACTAAGATTATCCACTGATCTTCACTATGTAAGTTCTCTAATCATCTCACTGCTCTCCGATCGAACAGTCAAAGGTTTCAATAGGTACATTATTTTCTTTCCACCTACCAGAAAATATGTATTACCTAACTTTATATGATCAAAACTGTCTCTCTAGTTCTATCAGACAATTTTTTAACAAGTTCCCTTTCCCCACAAGTACTGGTACCTCTATTAGGAGTACATATTATGTGGTAATGTTCATTTTTGATAAATCCAACAATCTGCTCTAGAGAAACCACTATATCTGCTTTCTTTTGTTACTTTTCCTTTCTTTCCTCTTCAATGTTTGTATTCCATTGGAAGATCTTATTGCTCCATTAGCTCATATATATTCGTTCTTGGTCACTAGGCTTGCTTAGATTCAGGATTTTTCTATGTTGTCAATCATAAAATCAGCCAGGAGTTTACGGATGAAGTTTTCGCTCAAAGCAAAAAGCTTTTTGACCTTCCTTTGGAAGAGAAAATGAAGCTTCTTAGGAATGAGAAACATCGGGGTTACACTCCTGTTCTAGATGAGCATTTGGATGCTGTCAATCAAATAAACGGTATGTATCTAGCATATCTCTTATTGCTATTATTATTAGATTAGAGTTAGAGGGGATATTTGCCTTGTTCCTACTCAATGTTGTTCACTCACTCCAGTACCAGTAAGATTCAATTAATTAAGTTGAACCACAACAATACCATAATGAGTATACTTTACAAAGAAGAGATGGCAAGTATCACCTACCCAAGAGAGAATTCTCGTAGATGTAGAATGGTTAGACTAAGATATAGCTTTACTCTCACAGTATCAAGAAATCTAGATATTTTATCAGAAAACAATTAGAAAAGCTACTTCAGCTGAGGCTACTTTCCTTTTAGTTGGCTGCTTTTGTGATGCGCCTTAGGTGACTATAAGGAGGGATATTACATTGGTGTTGAAGCACTTGAAGATGATCCTGATGCTCAGAGACCATTTTATGGGTCAAATGTGTGGCCTACTGCAGGTAACTCTCAGTGGGGTTCTAGTCATTTATCTGAGGAATACACAATGATCTTACCAAATATCATTATTTTGTTAATCACTTAAAAGGTTAAATTGGTTAGTATTCTTCAAGGTATCTTGCCTGGATGGAGGGAAACTATGGAGAAGTATCATCAAGAGGCACTGTGGGTCACTATCTTCCTATCATATTCTTACATTCTTAAGCTTTAATTCTTGTTGGTCAATGACAATATTGCTGTATATCTCCAAGATTGTTTTTTACCTGCATTTATCTCTTCTTTTTTTGTGTATCATTTGCTGCCTGTCTACTTGCATCAGTGAGGTGACAAAAGCAGTATCGAGGCTCATAGCCCTTGCACTTGACCTTGATGCTGACTTTTTTGGTCAGCCAGAGTTTCTCGGCAAACCAATTGGTACTTTGCGTCTGCTGCATTATGAAGGTGAAGATAGTTAAACTTCAATAGAGAGTCATCATGCTTCTCTATTTGATGTAACTGATATTCTGATTTCATGTCAAACTAGGCAAACTTTCTGATCCATCAACTGGCATTTTTGGAGCTGGTGCACATACTGACTATGGTCTGATTACTCTTTTGGCCACAGATGATGTCTGTGGCCTTCAGGTAAATTATCAGAAAACTTGGAATTTTCTAGATAGATATTAATCATGTTTAAGTCAAACTTTTAAATCTAATCCAGATATGCAAGGATAAGGATGCTAAGCCTCAGATTTGGGAGTATGTGCCACCATTAAAAGGGTGAGACATGATAAGTTTCTTGGTTTTGTCCTCTGTTTTGTAAGTAAAGCACAAGTTATAACGTGTAAGGTTTGATACTGCTTAAAATCATGTCTTCTCCTGCAGTATCAAACGATACAGCTTGCCTTTTGTTAACAATGTAAAAGTTAAGTTGAAATCACCTATGTAGCATAATAGAAGATTTCACTCTCTATAATGTAATGGACCAATTAGTTTGCAGCAGCAGTTATGGGCATAATATTCTTGACATTCTACTTACAGTGCTTTTGTAGTGAATCTTGGTGATATGCTTGAGCGCTGGAGCAACGGTATATTCAGGTAATGTGATTGTTGTGCAAGTTGCGAATTAATGGCATCAGAAGCCAGGATATTGATTCGTTACCTCTTCTAAACTACCATATAATACCCGCAATTCTTATTTTTTAATTTGACCTTGAGAAAATAATCTTACCCTTCTGACTTTATTGGGGATACATTCTGATAACTGAGCTCCTCCCTCCAGCAAGTTGTGAAGAAGTTGCTGCAATTGTTTAATGGAGAATAGTTTTTCTCAAATAGAGCTATACAATTAACCAAGGAAATGCAAACTTCATATTCCAGGATTTGGTAGCTTCTCTTCGTGATTATTAATTGTGTACACTCAATGTGTATGAAATTGACACATTTTTTTCTAAGTCACCGTAATTGTATCATGTTTCTTGTCAGTTTACTTTTTTGCTCCTGTGTTCAGGTCAACATTGCATCGGGTCCTTGGAAATGGTCAAGAAAGATATTCTGTAAGCCCTTTGATGGTTTTGGATGCTTGCATATCTTATGCATATCAACATAATCATTTAAAAAGAGAATTGTTCAATTTTATATAACTTCTTAGACGAGTGTTATTGCCTCCAGAAAGGAATCCCTTTAAGACTGTAATGATATATTTTCTTAACTGGAAAGGTTAAAAGGAAATTTCAGTAATTTTTTATCACTATATATCATATAACTTTTTCCGACTAAAAAAGATTGATATGAAATTTTGTTTTCATTATTGTATGTTTTCTTTCAAAGTACATCTATTAAGTTTTGGTCTGTCACTTGCCATAAAGATGATTTGGGTTCTGAAACATATATATGAAAGCATATGATAAGAAGCTAGCCAATAAGACTAAACAACAGTTATGAGTTTCTTAAAATTGTAAGCATTTTTGCTAAATCTATCTTCTAGAAAAAGTGTGTAATTTTGTGGAGAAATGTCCACATGCTGACTTATACCTGGATGGCTGGATTACCTCACCCCAGAACTGAAATTTTGAAGAGAGCTGCTTTTTGCTTGTTCTAACGGGAGACAGCAATGAATACTCATAGCAAATTAGCTCTTATGGAAATGGGAGAACCAATCATTTGATCCTCTTCTTCATGTTGTGTAGATTGCATATTTTGTGGAGCCCAGTCACGACTGTCTTGTTGAATGCTTGGCGACCTGCCAATCAAAAGATAACCCACCGAGGCAAGTAAACTTATTCTACCAGAGGCACACAAACTAAATTTATCCAACGTGCAGTACAAATTACCTAATGACCAAAGCTGTTTCCAACATATTTTAAAAAATATTTTGGAGAAAAGATTTTGTGCATTTGTGTGTGTTGTATCATGCATGACTGGAAGAAGATTTTTTATGGAAGTTCCAAGGCCCTTCTCCATTCAAAATTTCTTTCTGTAAAAGTGCTTTTGATAAATTTTTACAAAAACAACTTTCTCCAAAGACTTCTTCGTTTTCCAAATGTTCCCACACTCAATATAGACTTAGGTGCTTCAAGTTGTGATCCTATGAAAAAAGACTGAAATGCTTCAATGACGATGTTTAATTGAGGTCCTGTAATGCCAAATAAACGAGTTTTGCCATGCAAGTAAACCTGCATGGTCATTGCGCCACTATGATAATAGAGATCTTATTTTAGACGATGCGGCTTGTTAGAAATCTTTTATGTCCCCAGTGTTTTTGCCTACTATAAATGGTTGACTGATTGCTGTTCTCTCAGGTATCCTCCAATTAAATGTGAGACCTACTTGCTTCAGCGTTACAAGGACACTCATGTTGATCTGTGTTCTTACAAATAAGATAGGAGATGGTGGTAACTAGTAAAGCTATAAATGGTACCCCCGACTTTTCTTACACAGTTTATAAGGGTCCAGTCTTTGAATTAAGTTCGACTGGGTTGTAGAACACACTCTGTTCGAGTCTTTGAATTAAGTTCGACTGGGTTGTAAAACACTATCTGTTAAGCTCTATATGATGTTACTGTTGGACTGTAAGCATTGGGCTTTAAAGACTTTAAGCATTGGGCTTTAAAGTCTAAGAGTGTGAATTGGGAATTGGTGGGAAATAAAATGGAGGGAAATGAAAATTTGAATCAAATGAGCTTTTGTCATGAACTTTGTACCACATTGGTGAAAGACAACTACACTTGTGTGTATAAATATGGGATCACTTCTTAGAGCTCTTAAAAGGAGTTGAAGAGAATGAACCCTCGCGTCGTCGTCGCTCGCTCGGCTCGGCTTCGGCTTTGGATTTGTCAAATGATCGATAAAATTATTTTTTGGACAAAATTTATTTAATTAATTATTTAATAATTAATTAAATGCCAGATCACTGCTGAAGATTCAGAAAGTATAGTCTGGCCGCAATCTTGGCGTCACCGCGGTAGGACCGCGCCAGAACCCTTCTGCAGATTCAGAGAGCCACTCTGGCCGCGGTCCTGGCGTAATCGCGGTAGGATCGCGGCAGGCCGCGTAAACTTCTGAAAAGGCACTTTTTCCAGAACAAACATCACACCTCTTCCAATAATTGCCTATAAATTCTGAGGCATGGCTTCGGTTTTGAGATACCAAAAACATTACAGAACTTTCTTCTTTCTGAAATACTGCATTCTAATTCATAGTCTCTCTCTCTCAAATTCGTAAGTGTGATTTTGCTCCGTTCTTTGAATTCGTTGGTATCCTGCAGTTTGTATTGCCACTGTTGCAGGAAGGTTTATTCCGTTTCATCCTGGGACGATTTAATCCATTACCTTGGCAACGTGTGAGGGGGTTAAAATTCCTTAAGGACGCACAAACAAATTGTGGACTCGGAATATTTCTTATAGTTTACTGTTTTTTTTTTCCAGTTTTTTCTTCTAACAGTTTTTCTTTATTTTCCTCCTAATTTTGTGTTTCCACACAGGACTATTAACAAGCTTAAGGAATTTTATAATGTAACGGTTCTGTGTTGAAATATATATATTAAACTGTTATCTATATTTTGTATACTGGTTTGGAGACTAAAGCCTTCGTGCTTTCTACTCCAATAATTATCTGTCCGGTTTAAAGTATAACAAAACTTTACCGGAATAAGAAACGTACGGGTTTGAAGTATATAAAAACCTCACCATTGTTACGTGTTGTGTGTTTGGTTTGGTATTCAGTTTGAAGATATCAAAACTTCACTGATTTAACAAAGTTCTGTTTTGTTTCCAACTCTACAGAAACATGTCGAATGAAAACCAAACTAATGGAAATGTTGCGGGAACGGGTGCTACTGTTACGAGTGTTGCTGCCTCGTCAAGCCGTTCAACTCCTGCTCATGCTATGGCCGGAAAGTTTTCTAGTATTGACTTCAAACGTTGGCAAATGAAGATGCTTTTCTATCTGACTACGTTGAGTTTGCAGCGATTCATCAAGGAGGATCCTCTGGTCCTGGCTGAAGGCACTCCGGATGACGAACGATTTGTGGTAACTGAAGCATGGAAACATTCTGATTTCTTGTGCAAAAACTACATTTTGAGTTGTTTGGAAGATAGCTTGTACAATGTCTATAGTGTCATGGAAACTTCAAAAGCATTATGGAATGCGCTTGAGAAGAAGTACAAGACTGAGGATGCCGGACTTAAGAAGTTTGTGGCTGCAAGATTTTTGGATTTCAAGATGATTGACACTAGGTCGGTCATAACTCAAGTCCATGAATTACAAGTCATTGTGCATGATCTCCTTGCTGAAGGTATGACCCGAATCAATAATTTTATTAATAAGATTTTTCGTGTTATTAATTGTGAATTTATTATTGAATGTATGGTCATAAATGAAGCCTTTCAAGTCGCCGCTTTCATTGAGAAGTTACCTCCATGTTGGAAGGACTTTAAGAACTATCTTAAACACAAGCGGAAGGAGATGACACTTGAAGACTTGATTGTTCGTTTGAGGATAGAAGAAGACAACAAAAATGCTGAAAAGAAGTCACGTGGAAACTCGACAATAATAAGGGCTAACATTGTTGAGGAGGCGCCACAAAATAAGAAAAGAAAGAAGGCTTCTGGGCCAAAGAATTACCCGAGCAAGAAAAAGTTCAAGGGTAATTGCCACAACTGTGGAAAATCTGGGCATAAGGCCGTGGATTGTCGTGCACCAAAGAATGATAAGAAGAAGAAGAAGAATCAAGCTAACATGGTTGAAAATGCTGAAGAAATGGAGGACTTGTGTGCAATGTTGTCTGAATGCAACTTGGTAGGAAATCCTAAAGAATGGTGGATTGATTCTGG